AAGATAGACTTTATTACACAAGCAATAGAGCCGAGCTGGTCTGCAGAGCAACTAACTTTCCAACACTCAGCCCTCAGGTTATATACAGTTCTATTCCTGCTCATTTTACATACTTTTTAGCTTAATTCCTCCCTGTTTAGTTCCTGTCACGATCGTCGGGAACAGAGGACCAAGGCGCAGCGTTGAAGGCGTACATGCTTTTTTATTAAATTATATACACGAACAAAAACAACAAACGATAACGTGACGTCCAAAGGTGCAAAACACAAACCTATACAGGAACACGGAACAAGATCCCACAAACACTGTGGGAAAACTGGCTGCTTAAGTATGGTTCCCAATCAGAGACAACAAGCAACAGCTGAATCACGTTGCCTCTGATTGAGAACCACACTGGCCAACATAGAAACACAATACTAGAATAGATGAAAAACTCACACCCTGGCTCAACATACTAGAGTCCCCAGAGCCAGGGCGTGACAGTACCCCCCCCCCCCCCCAAAGGCGCGGACTCCGGCCGCGCCAACCAAAACCCACAGGGGAGGGACCGGGTGGGCACTCCGCCTAGGCGGCGGATCCGGCTCTGGGCCTGTTCCCCACTCCAACCCCCCAAAGTACCCCTGGTCCGGTCTGGCCCCGCTGACCGGAGCTGGACTGCACACTGGTGGAGCGGATTGCTCTAGCTCCGGCGTGAAGCAGCTGACCGGTGCCGGACCAGGCACCGGTGGAACAGGCACGGGCCGTGCCGGACTGACGACGCACACCACTGGCTTGGTGTGGGGAGCAGGAACGGGCCGAGCCGGGCTGACGAAACGCACCACTGGCTTGGTGTGGGGAGCAGGAACGGGCCGAGCCGGGCTGACGAAACGCACCACTGACTTGGTGCGGGGAGCAGGGACGGGCCGGGACGGGCCGGACCGGGCTGACGAAGCGCACCACTGCCTTGGTGTGGGGAGCAGGGACGGGCCGAGCCAGGCTGACGAAACGCACCACTAACTTGGTGCGGGGAGCAGGAGCGGGCCGGACCGGGCTGACGAAGCGCACCACTGACTTGGTGCGGAGAGCAGGGACGGGCCGGACCGGGCTGACGAAGCGCACCACTTACTTGGTGCGGAGAGCAGGGACGGGCCGGACCGGGCTGACGAAGCGCACCACTGCCTTGGTGCGGAGAGCAGGGACGGGCCTGACCGGGCTGACGAAGCGCACCACTGACTTGGTGCGGAGAGCAGGGATGGACCGGGCCGGACTGGCGACGCGCACCATTGGCTTGGTGCGGGGAGCAGGAACAGGCCAGGCCGGGCTGGCGACGCGCACCATAGGCTTGGTGCGGGGTGCAGGAACAGGCCGGACTGGGCTGGCGACGCGCACCACAGGCTCAGTGCAAGGGTCAGGAACAGGCAGGACCGTACTGGGGACACACACCACTGGCCCTACGCGGGGATCAGGAACGGGCCGGACCGGACTGGTAACACACCCCAGTACCTCTCGCCGTGCCTCTCCACTTTCCTTCCCCTTTGTGACCAGTGGCACCCGTAACCTGGCGGCCTCCTCTGCCAACCCGCTGGACCGCTCTATCGCGGCCTCCTGCTGCCCCGTCGTCCACGGCGTGAGCCCCCCCCCTAAAAAAATTTCTGGGCGTCTCTCCTACCCGTGGACCAGGTCTCCAAGTCTCTCGCCAGCCTTTCGCCCTTCTGCTTCCAAGTCCAGCCCTTCTCTTGCTCACACGGCTTGACCCAGTCGAGGAGGCGATGGAGATCCGCTAGAGACTCCCCTGGCGATGGCTCCTGGACCCGCTGCTTGGTCCAGTCTTGGTGGGATCTTCTGTCACGATCGTCGGGAACAGAGGACCAAGGCGCAGCGTTGAAGGTGTACATGCTTTTTTATTAAATGATATACAAGAACAAAAACAACAAACGATAACGTGACGTCCAAAGGTGCACACCACAAACCCATACAGGAACACGGAACAAGATCCCACAAACACTGTGGGAAAACTGGCTGCTTAAGTATGGTCCCCAATCAGAGACAACAAGCAACAGCTGAATCACGTTGCCTCTGATTGAGAACCACACTGGCCAACATAGAAACACAATACTAGAATAGATGAAAAACTCACACCCTGGCTCAACATACTAGAGTCCCCAGAGCCAGGGCGTGACAGTTCCTCCGTCATTGTTTCCAGTGTTCACCGTTTGACCGCTCCGACCGACTTCCTTATTTTATAATAGTGGCGAAATCTGACTTCACTTCCTTCTATATTCAGTTTCTGGAAACAATAGTGGCAAGCCCTGTCATGTAAAAATAACAGAGCCATTTCCTGGCTCTGCTCTGTTTATTCTTAAACATATCAATCGATACTTAAACATGGTTTAAACATGGCAGGTCCATTTTCTGAGCCATAATCAATTCTCAACCATATACAGTTTCTCATGCATAGTGTACAGTTCCCACACATAGTAGGTCCATTCCCATGTGATGAACTATGTTTAATTTTATAGCCTGAAAAGATGTAACTATGTTTAACATAGAGTTTAACATATAGTCTACTGAAAATCCCCAATAGTATACACAGATTTTTTGATGTTATTGCAGGTGCAGCGAAATGCTTGTGTTTCTAGCACCAACAGTGCAGTAATAATACCTAGAAAACAATACAAAACAATACGCACATAATCCAAAATTCGAGATCTGACTGAATTTCCATAACGTCCTTTTGTACCCTTCTTTCTCCCTTTTTTGAAGTAGCTGCCAGCCACTGACGTGAGATAGTTGGATAGGTGAAAGCAAAGGGCTACATAGGCTACAGTATGGATCTTGGTGAAAGAATAGCTTTCATAGGTCCTGTCAAGTCAGAGCAGTTAGTAGGCTAGGCCTACTTCCAGTAGTGGTGCGTGGGTAAAATCATTGGGGAAGCCAATCCAGGAAAAAAAGTTGTGATAATTATGTTGTTTGCTCTATAACCTGTTAGTTCATATACCTTGCCACCGAGATATATAGGCCTAAGGCCGAGACAATAAGAAGATTGGCAGAATAAATTCAACCACACCTTTGTTTCATCACAAAACCAGAGAGCAACATCTGTCCGTTGAAGTCCACAAAGCATTTTGCATGTAACAAACAGTTACTTGACCTACAGCATGGTCAAGCAATTTAATGTTTACAAAATTTTTGGACTACTACACAACCATTGATTTAGAACCACGAAGAGTTACCACAAGTCAAAAAGAAAACAGGAGCTGCCTCCACTATTCCAGCGTCATTTCAACTTCAACATTTCAACATAATCAAATCACCTATGATTAGTTTAATACGGTGACAACTAAAATATACCCAAAACTATTTAGTCCAATCAACGTAAGCTAATTATGATGTGGCTGACAGGTGTGGCATATCAAGAGGTAGCCCTTTGCTTTCACATGTTATAGAGAAACACCAATGACATCCTCCTCCTCTTTCATGTTGCTGAAACGGTCTATGACTGTTATACAGTACACGCTTTTAGTTTTTGTTGTCCTAGGCTACCTGGCTAAAATGCTTGCTTGCTAGCCTAACTTCCTTTCATGGGCAACGATGCGCCAGGCCAGCTACTACATCTAGCTACATATTGAACTTCCATCCTCTCAGGCCAGGGGCACAATGTATTAATTTATGGTTGGATCAGAATTGCCGTTTATAATCATTGGCCAGTACAGAGAACAAAGTAAAACCAGAAGTCCAAATACCTATCTCCATCCATGGCTAATTTAGCAAAGGGATGATTTTAGCTAGCTAGCTAATTTATGTTTTTTCTGTAAATTACGTTCTGCTTTTGATGTGATGTGATTATTGTTAAGCCAAATCCAAACTGGCTTCCCTTGACACTTTTATTTGGGTGCGCCAGAACCATTCACAGTTGAGCTCACTCAGTTTAGCTCAACGCTAATTGGCTATTATTATTTTATTTAAATTATCTAGGGAGGCCAAATGCTCACTGGCTTCCCTTGCATTGAATGCTATGGGCAGCAACAATGTCATACTCTTTTTGACCAGACAGCATCAGATAGACGGGCTACACATACTGAGAAGAGGGGCGCTGTTTGCTCGCTCAGATGCTTTCTCCCGTGAGATACATTCAGCCTCTTGAAGGGAAATGATGAAACACAGCGCCCCTGGTACATTTCTGGGGGAAGCCTGGCTTCTCTTGACACCAACGAGTACAAGCCACTGCCTACTTCGAGGAGAGGAAGAAAGGATGTGTTGTGGATGAGTTCGAACAGGCCCTGAGTTGTAGTTTCCTGTCTGTCATCCTTCCAGTAATGAGTAACGTCACGTTTCCCTCCCCAGGCAGTCACAGTGTGTGCTCTTTCTGCTGACACTAGACTGCATCAAGACCAAACCAAGGAAGACACTCAGTGAAACACAACGGTATTTTACTTTTATCATGATATAATGACACCATCATTCTAACCTCTATCCTACCTCTTTATTAACACTTAAGCCTAACACGTTTTGTGCTGTTTTGAACTTTTGATATGTCCAATGTTAAGGGGACAATTTAGTGTTTGTGTTTCTCAGCTATCTAAAACCATGAATATATACTCAAGTTTCTCCTAGACACTGATCCAAGGTCAGTCTGGTTTGTACTGGATAGGGTAAGGATTTGATGTAGTTAAGCTGGTTCTAGATCTATACCTCAGAAAAACATCTACCAGAAAATATAAAGCTCATGGAATGACATGATTAAAGAACGACTCCAGGCGACACTCTAAAACCTGATAAAAAGTATGTAGAAATAAGTAAAAAATGTGCGTCCCTCTGTTGAATTTTGAAGTCCTGATGTGCCTTGAGTTGTTACCCATCACTAATGTAGGAGGACAGATCATATAAGCTCATCAGGTCTGAGTGAGGATGCTGAAGTGGTCAGGTTTTTACCATGGTGTTATATCTGTGTGTGTGTGTGTGTGTGTGTGTGTGTGTGTGTGTGTGTGTGTGTGTGTGTGTGTGTGTTTCCCCCCTCACAGGTTTGCAATGGTGCTATATCCGCTGGGCCTCTGGGTCTGTGCCGTCATGCTGCATGCCCTTGGGAGAGCAGAGAAAGGTGAGTGATGAGAATGTGTGTTTTATGTGTATCATCCTTACATGTTTTTACCCTGCAGTGTTGGGGAGTAGTGAACTACATTTAGTTCAACTAGTAATTGAACTACATTTTGCAGTAGCTTGGTGGAAGTTGAATTACAATAAATTACAATCATGGTAGTGTTTTCAGTAGTTCATTACTTTTTTGCCATGTAGTGGTGTAGCTAACTACTGGAACTACACACTACCTTGTTTGCAAAAAGAACAGAAAATATGTGTGAAATAGGCAAGAATGTCCTTCCTTTTTCGGGTTCAGACCTTTTTTAAAAATTTTTAAATTATTTTTTTTTTAGTCATTTTAGCAGATGCTCTTATCCAGAGCGACTTACAGATAGTGAGTGCATACATTATTTTTTTATTTCATACTGGCCCCCCGTGGGAATCGAACCCACAACCCTGGCGTCGCAAACACCATGCTCTACCAACATCCCTGCCGGCCATTCCCTCCCCTACCCTGGGCCAATTGTGCGCCACCCCATAGGTCTCCCAGTCACGGCCGGCTACGACAGAGCTGCCTAATTCTCACTTGAAACATAGTTTTTGTCTTGATTAATAATAGGCTAAATTACACATTTCCCTGTGTTGTACATATATTTCCACACTATGAGTTTGAAATAATACTGTGAAATTGTGAAAATTATGATAATACCCTTTTAATTTAAGAGCAGTTAGAAAAGACCGCCTGAAATTTCAGCCTGTTTTGGTGGGATGGGGTTTTGGTCTGTCTGGTGACATCAACATGCATTCAATTAGTTAATAGACCAATAAGAAAGAGAGTTCCAAACCTCTCTCCCAATAAGAGCTAGTTTTCAGTTTTCCCCTCCCCACTCAGACCACTCCCAGACAGTCCTAGCAAAATTATTTATTGAGAAATTGCTCTTTGCTAAGAAGCTGTTTTTGTTTATTTTTGACCATTTTAATTGAAAACAATCTCAGTGAAGTACTTAATTGTTACCCAGAAAATATTTGGCGCATTTGACCTTTTTTATATTTTTTTTGATGACATGATATGATGACTTTTCCCAAGAGCTTGGATGTCGTGAACTTTTTTCAAAGCACTTTAGTTAAGAACTTCACTGATTGTGCTTAAAAATACACCTTTCCTAAAATACTTATTTAACTGTTCCTCTCCACATTAAATAGTTTAGGAACGCTGATCCAGAGACTTACAGTAGGAATACTCATTTTTTTTTTTAATATCCCCCCCCGTGGGAATCGACCACAACCCTAGTTAGGTCAACTGCCATGAGTCTATCAACTGAACATCCTGCGCCATTCCCTCCCACCTGGACGAAAGGGCCTTGGTCTCCCGGTCGGGCCCTAAAGCCGTGTTCGACCATGATCTCTGTGGCACAGTTTGCATGCTACAGTGCCTTAGAAAGAGAGTGGAGTTTCATCTACACTGAAAGTGGATTAACAACAGTGCATAAGTGATCATAGCTTTCACCTGGTCAGTCTGTCATGTTAATGTTTTGTACAGTCAGTTCTTAAGGGTAGCTTTAATGTAGCCTAACTTCTTCTAGTGTGAAGTAATTGGTCAATTGGTAAACTATCATTTCAGAGTAGCTTCCCCAACACTGTTACCCTGTAGTGTGCTATGTGTACCTGTCACGATCGTTGAGAGACGGGTCAGACCAAGGTGCAGCGTGGGATGCGTACATGTTTATTAAACGAATAAACACTTGACAAAATAACAAAACAACGAAACGTGAAGCTCAAACAGTGGCTACAACACAACAAGCCAAACGCGAGTCAAGATCCCACAACTAAGGTAGGCAACCAGGCTACCTAAGTATGATCCCCAATCAGAGACAACGAGCGACAGCTGCCTCTGATTGGGAATCACACCCGGCCAAACATAGAAATCTCAAACTAGATCTACAACCTAGAAATACAATAACATAGAATTCAACAGAAACTCACACCCTGACCCAACCAACAAGAGTTCTCTCGATCAGGGCGTGACAGTACCTTACTGAGCTCTATTTCTGTGTCTGTCTGACAGTAACTCAAACGACTGAGCCAAGTTTCTCTGGGAGCACAGAAGGGTTGAAGACTGGGACAGTTACTATAGGGCCGGACGAGACCCAAAGCCCTGATACACACAGACACCAGAGCCTAGAACCAGACCTGAACCAAGAACGGCCTCCCTTGGACCTCTGTAAGGATGATGAGCTATTTAACGGAGAGGTGAGATCATTGTGATAATCTGTGGTCCCTGTGATGGCCCTGTCTCAAACCATTTTAGATGTATAATCTCTCCCTCTCTCTCCACCAGATGCACCAGAAAATATACCAGAGGGATCCTCATGGTGTTATGCAGCTGGTTAAGAGCGAGGACTACGAAGAGACTGACATTGTCACCAGCATTGACCCCTTCAAACTATCATACAGTAAGACAAACGCACAAAGACACAAACACACACTCACACAATTGCACACGCATGCACGCTCACTGAACCCTATCTGTAACGTTAGGTGGACTGGCCTGCTGTCTTATCTACCCAACCAATCAACTCAACTGCTCCTGGAAATTCCATGGTCTCCCTAATGACAGCCAATACTCTTCCTATGTCTCGTAAGCACCTCCGAACAATATCCAAGACACACAGAAAATGAAAGGCTTAGCAACAACATTGTTTCATGCAATATTAATAGTACAAGCTTGTCAATTCATAGGTTATTACTGTGAAATTACCATTTTACAGTACAATAAAATGCTAATCTAATTTTAGTACGAAACCCACCCTCAACCCGGACAGCACACAGTCTGCTTTAAGCGCTGCTGTGTGTGTGTTTGAATATCAGTGCGTGTAGGAAAACTGAGAGGATCTCCAGTGTGGACTGTGTCTCTGAGGTGATGGGAGGCCAGGGAGCCCAGGGATGGACTGGTAACGCTGGCGGTGTGGTTCGGGACGTGTCTGCTGGCTGCCAAGGCAGTGTGGATGACAGCGTCACCTCTTTGATCCTGACTTTCAACGTGTCACTCCCTGACGTGTGGTGCATCTACATCCTTAAAAACGACACCAGAGATATTGAAGTACTGCGCCCACCCCCCAACATCACTGCCTGGGTCAGAGAGGAGGGTCTGCTGGTGCAGTGGGATCTCCCGTCCAGCCGGTCTAAGACCACCACCACCAGCTGCTTCCACTACCAGCTACAGATCAATGACCTGGTAATACTATACCAGAGAGAGTTGTGTTGTCTAACTTGTCTTGTGTGTGTGTTCAGTGGTGGCCCTGTTTATTAAGAGGCTATTTGTATATGTGTATTGTAAGCTGAGGAGCTTTAAGGCGGGACTGACATACACTGAGACCAACCTGGACCGCACACAATCATACGATGTGAAGATGAGGGTGAGGAAGAGTCTTAACTGCAGAGGATCTCAACACTGGAGCAGCTGGAGCAACACCATCAGTGAGTCTGCCTTCATCAATATTATAATCATATCTGCTTGTAAAACTGAAACAATAAAACGTAATAATGCCAACTGGATGCTTTACAGCGGTAAAAAAAACATAATTTGCTTTCTTTTCTTTCGTTTATGTTTACACCGCTGTGTGCGTGTTCAGCCGTGGCCCTGTCTGAATCACCCAATCAGCTGAACTCTCTGGTGGTCGTTGGTGTCACTCTGGGGATACCCATGATCCTCCTTGCTCTGCTGCTGCTGATCCGACTCCAGAGGTATTTTGTTGGGTTCATGGAATTTCATGGAGAGGGAGGAAGAGAGAAATGGAGGGATGAAGAGAGAAAGAAATGGAGAGAGAGAGGGAGGAACCAAATAGAAACACAGAGAAATTGAGAAAAAGAGAGAAGGAAACCGAGAGAGAAAGGGAGTGACCAGAGAGAAACAGAACATTTACAAAAAAGACAGACAGACACACAGAGAAAGATACACAGAGAGATGAGACAAGTGTTGAGGTGTTAGATTTTAGCGTCTGTCCACAGACCACACACATTTTCACAGTGAAACTGAACTTCCTTCCAACGAGAGGTGGAAAACACCCGTTATTCTTAGAAAACAACAGAAAGAGGAACACAAATGCCTGTGTGATTGAACAGTAACTGGCAAGAACAATATGAAAACAGTATACAATATACTGTTTAAATGTAATTATATAATGCTATGGTGTTAGTGGTGTGATTCCCTGGCTACTGACTGACTGACTGTAGTGTGTGTTTTCAGGGAACGTCTGTTTCCCCCCATCCCTGGTCCCCCACTGAAGATGAAACACCTCTTGGAGAGAGACGACCTATTTCAGGTGAATAAACACACGTACAGAGCAGAAACATTTGTTATGTTTACTTGGTGAACTATCATATCATAACCCTTCTCTTGTGGAGCTAACAAAACTTCTCTCTTTCTGGTTTGCAGTTTGTCCCTCAGGCCCTGCCGTCCAAATGTGTTGAGGAGATCACAGTGGTGGAGGAAGCTGAGGAAACACCTGTCAATATGGCCAGTTAGACAAGATGGCCGGTTTAAAGTAGTCTCGTAAATACCAGACAAGCTCGCGGGATCAGGCAGCTTTGCAAGGCTATGTTTAAAGCCCTATCATCCTTAACCGCTAGGCTCGTGGGCCGATCTGTAAGAAGGATCCCCTTAGCCTATCAGAGGTCAAGATGCAGTCATTACCATTTGTTAATACCTATCCAATCCTTTCAGATCTACAAGAAGTAGGACGAGGAGAGAGTGTGCTTGTAGGGCCAGCAGTTTCCTTGGTCTGGTCTGTTGGATTCTAGCTTGAACACTTATTCATGTTACCATATTATAATTTATTGATTACTTTACATGTATAATGAATGTATATGTTGGGGTCAATGGAGGGTGGATAAGAACTAGGTGTATGGAAAGTTAATCAGTGGATCCTATGGTGTGAGGCAAAGGGAAACAGTCTAGTTTCAGTCACTGATAAGGAAGGACAGCCGTGGATTAGGGAGGAGTGAGGAATTCGGCCCGAGGTCAGGTCAGATGAAGTTAGGAGGAACAGTCCTGTCACACACATATACTTGCATGCCCACAAAGGTTCTAGTAGGAGGCGGGGCCATGACTACACCAGTGAGAGGAACCAATTAAGTTCCTAACTAGCAACAGAGATGTGTTGGCTGTCTAGATGTGCAAGGAGGTGACTCCTAGTAGGAGGGTATAAATATAAGTGCTTGTGGAAACATGTTTTAGTCTTTGCAGCTGTTTGACCCAGTGGGGGAATACACTTGGTTTGAGCTTTTCCTAGTCATCTGTTTGAGTTTCTACTCTATTTGTTTAGGTTAATAGTCCGGAAGAATTATTGACCTTGATGGTGTACTCCAAACCATACTTCCTTCAGATTTAAATATAGTCAAAAGTACTGTCAGACTGATTTGTAATACTGTCATAGCCCAAATGAAAAAAGTAAACATTGGCCGTTGATTACATCACTTTTTTGTGACATGGTGGGGTCTCCATTATTTTTCTCATAATATCTTAAAGGGGTCGCGGTCCAAAAAAGTTTGGGAACCCCTGGTGTAACTGAAAGCTACTCCAAAGTAGAAGCTAAGCATATGACATTGACATGCATTGTCCTTATGTGCTTAGCTTCTACTGTGGAGTAGCGTCATCCACAAGAGGCTCTGCGGCCCTCTAGCTGTCTGCTCCCCCAATGGCTGTAGTAATAACCACATGGCAAATTATTTGGACGTTACCAAAAAGTTGGACTTGCAGCCAGCTCTAGGATGAGTCTTAGTGGTTCCAAACTTCTTCCATTTAAGAATAATGGAGGCCACTGTGTTTTTGGGGACCTTCAATGCTGCAGAATTGTTTTGGTACCCTTCCCCAGATCTGTGCCTCGGGACTCTACAGACAATTCCTTCGACCTCATGGCTTGGTTTTTGCTCTGACATGTACTGTCAACTGTGGGATCTTATATAGACAGGTGTGTGCCTTTCCAAATCATGTCCAATCAACTGAATTTACCACAGGTGGACTCTAATCAAGTTGTAGAAACAGCTCAAGGATGATCAATGGAAACAGGATGCACCTGAGCTCAATTTCGAGTCTCAAAGCAAAGGGTCTGAATACTTGTGTAAATAAGGTATATCTGTTTTTTTATTTGTAATACATTTGCAAGAATTTCTAAAAACCTGTTTTCGCTTTGTCATTATGGGGTATTGTGTGTAGATTGAGGATTGTTTTTTTGTAATCCATTTTAGAATAAGGCTGTAACGTAACAAAATGTGGAAAAGGGGAAGGGTTCTGAGTACTTTCCGAATGCACTGTATATGCCCTTGTCCATAGTCATATCAGCAAGGAATGGATTAAGAAATGAATATGCCATTAATACCAAAAACTTTAAAAAATGACATTTTATTTATTTACAGTATATTTTTATTTAACCTTTTATTTAACCAGGCAAGTGAATTAAGAAATGTCCCAATAAATAATCTCTATTTTTGCATTTAAGCCTCTGTTTTGGATTTGTCCACTTTTTCAACTGTCTCCATCTCTCCAAGTCAATTAAGAACAAATTCTTATTTGCAATGATAGGCTTTTCATTAATCAAATCGTCAACAGTAACATATTCGTTTAACATATAAGTCATATACTGTACATTAGATACACAGAGAGAAAAACATTAGCAGATAGCAGTTGTGTGCACTTATGACAAAAATTGTCCTCATGCACACAAATAAACATGCAAACCCACACACAAACGCACTCTCCTCGTCCTACTTCTTGTAGATCTGAAAGGATTGGATAGGTATTAACAAATGGTAATGACTGCATCTTGCTCTGTGATAGGTTCAGGGAATCCTCATTACTGATCGGCCCACGAGCCTAGGGGTTAAGGATGATAGGGCTTTAAACAGGTAGGCAGGTAGCCTAGCGGTTTGAGCGTTGGGCCAGTAACTGAAAGGTTGCTTTGAATCCCCAAGCCAACAAGGTGAACAATCTATGGATACGCCCTTGAGCAAGGCACTTAACCCTAATTGCTCCAGGGTTACCATTCATAATGGCTGGCTGTGACCCCACTCTCTTAGGGAGAGTGGGATATGCAAAAAACACATTTCCAATTATCACGTGTGAAATAGGACAAAAATAAGCACCCACCAAATTATATCACACACACTTCAAAGCGTTCCACCATGTGCAACCACATGCCTTGTTGTGGAAGCACAAACGTGCGCTTTTGTAAACAACAAAAGCATTGTCTCATAAAGGCTCAATTAAATGCATGCATACACACAAACAAATCGTCCCACTGTAAGGATGTGTTGGTTTCACATTTCCATATAGGCAGTCTCTGTTGAAAAGATAAAACCGTTAAAATTATATTACAAGCACTGTGTGTGTGGGACGACCTACCGCTCCACAGCCTCTCATCTCTCAGCTGTGTTTTGTCCAGGGGGTGTGTGGTCGGGGGTATGCTGTCAGCAGGGACTATCTGCAGAGGTGTACTTAGTGATTTGGAGGCTGTTATGTTTGCTGTATTGTCTTGCATTTTGGGCTGCTACTTTGTGTACTTGTTGATTGTTAATAAAGTGCAGTTATTCTCACATAAATGTACAGCTCAAAACACACTACAAGGCATTGCACGGACAGGTATAACATGGGAGGTATTGCCTTGATAAGTTCCTTTCCTGAGGACGGCTCACCCCTCACAGTTCTAGGTGACTTCAACCTCCCTATGTCTGCCTTTGACTCATTTCTCTCTGCCTCCTTCTTTCCACTCCTCTCCTCTTTTGACCTCACCCTCTCACCGTCCCCCCCTACTCACAAGGCAGGCAATACGCTTGACCTCATCTTTACTAGATGCTGTTCTACTAATCTCACTGCAACTCCCCTCCATGTCTCCGACCACTACTTTGTATCCTTTTCTCTCTCGCTCTCCTCCAACACTACTCACTCTGCCCCTACTCAGATGGTAATGCGCCGTCGCAACCTTCGCTCTCTCTCTCCCGCTACTCTCTCCTCTTCCATCCTATCATCTCTTCCCTCTGCTCAATCCTTCTCCCTCCAATCTCCTGATTCTGCCTCCTCAACCCTCCTCTCCTCCCTTTCTGCATCCTTCGACTCTCTATGTCCCCTATCCTCCCGGCCGGCTCGGTCCTCCCCTCCTGCTCCGTGGCTTGATGACTCATTGCGAGCTCACAGAACAGGGACCCTGGCAGCCGAGCGGAAATGGAGGAAAACTAGACTCCCTGCAGACCTGGCATCTTTTCACTCCCTCCTCTCTACATTTTCTTCATCTGTTTCTGCTGCTAAAGCCACTTTCTACCACTCTAAATTCCAAGCATCTGCCTCTAACCCTAGGAAGCTCTTTGCCACCTTCTCCTCCCTGCTGAGAGCGAGAGTTGCACCCCTCCTCAAAAAACCTACAGTCGATCCCTCCGATGTCAACAACTACAGACCAGTATCCCTTCTTTCTTTTCTCTCCAAAACTCTTGAGCGTGCCGTCTCTAGCCAACTCTCCTGCTATCTCTCTCAGAATGACCTTCTTGATCCAAACCAGTCAGGTTTCAAGACTGGTCATTCAACTGAGACTGCTCTTCTCTGTGTCACGGAGGCTATCCGCACTGCAAAAGCTAACTCTCTCTCCTCTGCTCTTGTCCTTCTAGACCTGTCTGCTGCCTTTGATACTGTGAACCATCAGATCCTCCTTTCCACCCTCTCCGAGCTGGGCATCTCCGGCGCGGCTCACTCTTGGATTGCGTCCTACCTGACCGGTCGCTCCTACCAAGTGGCGTGGCGAGAATCTGTCTCCGCACCACGTGCTCTCACCACTGGTGTCCCCCAGGGCTCAGTTCTAGGCCCTCTCCTATTCTCGCTATACACCAAGTCACTTGGCTCTGTCATATCCTCACATGGCCTCTCCTATCATTGCTACACAGACGACACACAACTAATCTTCTCCTTTCCCCCTTCAGATAACCAGGTGGCGAATCGCATCTCTGCATGTCTGGGAGACATATCAGTGTTGATGACGGATCACCACCTCAAGCTGAACCTCGGCAAGACGGAGCTGCTCTTCCTCCCCGGGAAGGACTGCCCGTTCCATGATCTCGCCATCACGGTTGACAACTCTGTTGTGTCCTCCTCCCAGAGTGCGAAGAGCCTTGGCGTGACCCTGGACAACACCCTGTCGTTCTCCGCTAACATCAAGGTGGTGACCCGATCCTGTAGGTTCATGCTCTACAACATTCGGAGAGTACGACCCTGCCTTACACAGGAAGCGGCACAGGTCCTAATCCAGGCACTTGTCATCTCCCGTCTGGATTACTGCAACTTGCTGTTGGCTGGGCTCCCTGCCTGTGCCATTAAACCCCTACAACTCATCCAGAATGCTGCAGCCCGTCTGGTGTTCAACCTTCCCAAGTTCTCTCACGTCACCCCGCTCCTCCGCACACTCCACTGGCTTCCAGTTGAAGCTCGCATCTGCTACAAGACCATGGTGCTTGCCTACGGAGCGGTGAGGGGAACGGCACCTCCGTACCTTCAGGCTCTGATCAGTCCCTACACCCAAACGAGGGCATTGCGTTCACCCACCTCTGGCCTGCTGGCCCCCCTACCTCTGCGGAAGCACAGTTCCCGCTCCGCCCAGTCAAAACTGTTCGCTGCTCTGGCATCCCAATGGTGGAACAAGCTCCCTCACGACGCCAGGACAGCGGAGTCACTCACCACCTTCCGGAGACA